GCTGGGGAGACGGTGAGAGGGGACGCTGAGGGGGTTGGGAATGTCCACATGTTGCGGGGTGAAGAATCGCTGTCAGACATGTAGATTTCCCCTACTTGGAAATGCAATTCATATTCAAGTAGAAAGACACGTCCTAATCATCATAGATTCTTGACCGTTTAATCAATCTGCCAGGCCTAGCTGTGCTTTTCCTCCTCTCTCCCTCTTCCCCTCTCCCCCCATCTTCCCCAAACCAAAAAAAAGTCTTCATCCCGCAATGTCCCGCACTGCATTTCCACCAAAAGCCCATGTGTATATATGTGTGTCAAAATGCCGCAGCGAAAGCACACCGAACCACACACATGCATCCTCCCTACGCATAGAGAAAAACCCGAACCCCCACCAAAAAGTCGTCGTACACCGGCTCTGCCCTACCCCGAGCATCGTCATACGCCAAAACAAAGCCATAAAAAGGCGTCCATCGCAAACACAACATGCGCATAAATCTCCTCGTCGTCGACAACAGTCCCAATTTATCCCGGGGTGGGGCAAGGAAAACAAGCCAGAGCTGAGGCCTGTCAAAGGCAGAAAAAAAAAACAGGGCAAGAAAGGGAAAATCTCAGCCGGCAAAGCGCCCGTCAAACCCAATGCCCACGACATCGCCTGCCTCGCCTTCTTCTTCGCGACTCCACTGCGCCATACCCGTCCCCCGCCCGCTTTCCACGACCCCATTTCCACTCCCATCACCAGCATCAGCATCTCCGACCTCCTTCCTACGTTCGACCAAAACCCGCAGATCCCTCCCCGGGACGCTTTTCAACTCCTCACTGCACGCCCAGCAGATTCTCAAGTTGCACCAACTGCACGTCCACTTGCGCTCCGGGTCGTTTTTGTGGCAGAGCATGCAGCCGAGGGACTGTAGGGCGTTGTTGCTCCAGACGGAGATGGCGTGTGCGGTGTAGCATGTGAGGTGGGAGTTTGTGATTGGGGGGATGAGGGAGGGGGGGAGAGGGCAGGGGTGGCGGGTTAGCGGGGTGAAGGGTGGTGGGGAGCCGGCGGGTTGTTGGTACTCTGGGTGCGATGCTGGTGCTAGTTCTCTTTCTTGTTTTGGGTTTCTTTCTAGTTGCGGTGCTGCTGGGTAGGCGGAATCCGGTGCTGGTGCCGGGGCTGGTTCCTGTGCTGATGGATGGGAGGGTACGGTGGGGAACTGCGATAGAGAAAATTTCTCTGAGGTTTGTATGGATATTGGAGAGCATTGGGCTGCTGGGACCAAGGCTGGGGCTGGAGCCAGTGCCGCGACCATAGGCGATTCGGTCTTGGGGCTTGGTGATGCCAGGTCAAGGGATGTTGGGCGAACTGGGCTCTCTTTTGAAGCAGTGATTGAGGCGGCTTCTGCTGTAGTCGTCGGTTGCATGTGCTCTGCGATTGTTCTCTCCTGGGTTTCGACGCCTGTCTCGTAGCTGACCGGACGGGTCTGATCCTTTGGCGGTGGCAGAGGCGAGAAAGGAGATATCGGTCCATCCTTCTGTGGCTGGACTGGTCGGAGCTGCGGTGGTGGTGTCATCTCTGGTGTGAGGCTAGCGGTTGGGATGGGAGGCGCTGGTCGGTGTGGCTATAGGAAACCTGTTAGCAATATGCTCTGCACTATTTTAAAGCGGTCGCCTCACATTCGAATATGATTATCGGATGAGTACAGGCGCAGGCAACCGAAGGTGAATACGTACCTGCAGGCCACCGAAACTTATGCTGCTATTTCCTCGCTTGTGTGTGGGTGAAGTCTGAGTCTTGGATCGAGGATTCGAGGGCAGTCCGATAGCGGTGAGAGCTTTCTTTGGAGGTGCAAGCGGAACCATGTTCTGGTCCTCATCTGGAGTCGGTGGCAACTGGTTGTTGGTGGGTGCTTCAACTTGCTGGTGAGCATTCTCGGGAGTGACTGTAACATCTGATGAATTGGATCTCGAATTATCGGGAGCTTCGGTATTCACGGTGCTTTGACCAGCAAGAATTTCGGGAGAATCGGAGTCGACGCTGGCTTTGCTTGATGCAGAAGTGCGTGGGAGAGGTCCTCCTTTTCCACCTCTTGGGCCTTTTCCAAGCTCTGCTAAACTCTTGAACCTCTTCACAACATTCTCAGGCAAAGCCTTCCTCTTAACTACGGGTGATGCTTCCACCGAGTTCGACGTCTCATTTGAAACTTGGGTATTAGAAAGTAGTGAGTCGTTTCTGCCCAGGTCTTTCCCGAACTGAGAAAAGTCGCTCCCCATCGTCACTGGTCCAGGATGCCGTCTCTCGGATTTCTCAGGTGGCGGAGGCGGTAATTCCTTGTCCTGTACCGATTGCGACGAAGGAAGCACTTGAGAGGGTTGGACTGGTGTCGGTGGTATTGTCGCCGTAGTCCCGTTACTAATGGTTAACTTTAACGAAGGCGGCTTGCCTTCGCGCGACAGGCTACGCGAGACAATGCGTCTTGTTGGCTTCGTTGCTGGGGAATCCGGACTATCTGGTGACGACGGTCCGTCTTCATCTGTTTTGCTCAGTTAGCAAATGTCACTGCAGCTCCATACGCATTTGTGATAGTGGTATTGTCTGCTGCTGCTGCTGCTGCTGGCGGTAGGCTGCGGGTGAGGAGAAAAAAGAAGCGAGGAAACAAAGGTAGGATTTTCGTATATGAGATGCAGATTGACTTCGCAATGGTGAAGTGAAGAGGAGTGGTGAACAAGAATCCAAGACATGGCTCACATCAGCAACCATGTGGAAATATATTGCAGAGTGCATCTGAAACAACAGTAATTGCATGTTGCAGTAGAGTAGTTGCTTACCTCGAAGTTGAAATTTCATATTCATACGCTGAACAGCTGGGAGTGGTTTTCTATCGATTTTGATGCTGTCTGAGCGTGGCGGCGGTGGTGGTGGTAGGGGCAACTCTTTCAAAGCCGGTACCGGGGAATAGTAGTCTGATGAGGATGCGTCACCGCGCCCAAAGGAATTTCCGTAGTCGTTAAGCAGGGCACTGATGATGTCCTGTCGCGAGGTGGGCGCTGTGAGTCCTAGGCCAGGCTGGGCCATGATGTCGGCCATGACGTGTGAGCGAATATATATATGCGATGTTGAAATGAATGTCTTGCTTGCGTCTGAGCGCACTAGGTCTGAATGGACAGGTTGTAGTATGAAAGGTTCGGCGCGCGGGGCGAGTGGTAAATGAACGTGGAGTCGACTGAGAGGGCGACTGAGCAATGAAACCGTAAATGACAGTATGGTACCAGCCCCGAGAGATAAATGACGTTGAACGAGTGCAAGTCACAATGGAGGAATGAGAAATGGGGAAGGACGCATGGTAAGCCTTTGGCACGAAGCTGGCCGTCTCAGGTACAAGAGAGAACCAGGGCTACGCCGCCATGCTGATCTGCGAGTGGCCACGCCCATCAAACGCATGAAATGTTTGACCGTCGGACCGGCAGGAAGCTGACCTGTCACAGGATATCCCCTCTACAGCGCGGGAAATCCATGCAAGGATGGAAAAGCGTTGGAGATGACAGGAGAGTGCCGAGCTCCACCGAGACGGAACGATACCGTATCGATAACTTGACGAAACAGACGCAAGTGCTGAGTAGATACAGCCACTAGCGAGCACTATACCCAAAGCTTGAAAGCAATACTCAAGTACTACTCGGGCCTGGAATCGTGGGCGCGCTCAAGGAGTAAGTGAAGCATGGCGACGAGACCATGCATTCGTCGGGAAAGGCTGAAGCATGAATGACTGTCGCGAGGTCTGACGTCCAGGGGGTTCACGACCATCAAATCACGGCACCCCGCAAGTCTGATCAACAGCACGTGACTGCCGACATGGTGTTTCAGCGCACCGAAATAACGCACACCCGACCGAGGAAGAGAGAAAAGGACCGAGGGGTCGACTGTAGCCCGCCCCCGAGCTATTGTAAAATCGCGTTGGTGTGTGACGTAGGACCGTTGTGTTGGTTGTTGGTGCTTTGGAGTAGGCAAGGACGGCGTCGCGTAAGATGGACTCCCCCCCTCTTGCGCATATACCGGTAAAACGCGTCCGAGGCTAGACGACAGTAGGTAGAGAAAAGGCTGGTGAGATGAGAAGAACGGGGATCACGGGTGTGGCCGACGTGAGTGCTGGTGACAGGCATGAATGAAGAGGCGTGCGCGATCGTGGCAGGTAGATTACGAGAGAGATGAGCCCTACCTGTGAAGAGATGGGGAGATTCGGGATCTACCTTGCCATGTGCCCAGCCACTGCGCACATTCAGCCCTGAGGATGTGTAAAAGCCATAGCGCAGCAACATACGACGGCGAGCGCCTTGAAGCAACTGCAGCGAAAGGGCGGAACAAGAGGGTAGGTAGGGTATTGATTATTGATTATATTATGTGTTACCCTAATGGACAGGGTGTAGCATGGCGTAGCATGTCGTAGTTCTTCCTTTTCTTGGAGAGAGCCCTCCCTTTCCAACAGCCGGTAGCCGACGAACTGTTCGCCAGGCTGATTAGGACTCCAAAAAAGCCCTCCCGACCAAATCCTCTGGTCCTAGCAATCATATGGGTATCCGTTACCAGCTCCCAAGAGCCTGGTCTATGCAATGAACAAGCAATCCAAACGCCTTCGCTAAATAATCGGCCGTCCCTGGCCGTCGAGGTCCCCCATAAAAACTATATATACAAGAAGAAAATACACAAGTGTCCCGCCGTTATTGGAACATGTAGAGTACAAACATTAGTATGAGAGTCATCGTAGGTGTGATGGATGCAGTTGCTGTGGGTGCGGCTGCCTTTAGGGGTGCTGCCGTGACGTTGACGAAAGTAGAACCGCAGGATATGGAGAGCTGTTGTGCTGCCGTGGTATATGTCTTCGATACAGGTTGGGTAGCGTTGTTTGCATAGCGAGAAAAGACGCCCATGGCCTGTTGCAAGCAAGAATTACACGTAGGTCGGGATCCGCCGGGCATTTCCTGGCCAATGGGTAGATAGTACGCGTACGAGTCTGTCGGGGAGGATGAGTTGCTGACAGCGTTCGCGAAGCAGTAGTTGCCCTGGTTATCTCTCAGGCAGCTTGCCTGGTAAGAAGGCTGATACGCAACCAGTCCATTGTAGGCCTGTAGGACAAGTGGGTTGTTGTTGTCGTAGTCGGTTTCGCATGCTGTTGGTGATACGAGCTCCCTTGCAAAGCCGTCGAGTGTTGTGCGACATCGTGTTGCATCAGCTCCACAGGTTGCATCCAGCGTCTGGGTGATGCGGAGGACTGATTTTGATGCGTCGAAAAATCCACTAGAAGTCTGCCGATTGTCAGCATAACTGCTACATACGCAGTGGCGCACCATCTAGCCGTACCTGAAGCAATAATGAAAAGGGATGACAGCTCATAAAGCTCTCGTTGGTGCGCATGCGGTTGATGAATCTGGCGCATGAGCTCGTAAAGTTGTTCGAGAGGCCAGTGTCAAAGGCCTTGGGGAGCTCAAACTCCGCCGTGGAGCGTTTGGCATCGGTGGCTATTGATCTCTTCGACGGTATATACACTGTTTCGATGACATGGTCGCGGTCGTGAACTGGAGGCATTAAAAGTGGTGCTATTGGTGGTGGACGACGGTCGAGTAACAGCGACGCTCCGGTCCAAACTAAGTCGTCTTGCACGAGCAGCGGTTGGCGGTCATTTGATACTGCAGCGGCCACGACAGAACATGTAAGACTCCAGAAGCAAATGATGGCAAACAGCGAATGCAGCGCGCGGGTGTGAGGGCCAGCGTCCGACGAGACTCTAGTAACCAAGGAGAGGCCCCAGCGACGGGTTTTGTACTGCTTTTCCCGCGTTGCCATGTTGGACAGGGGAGCCTCATGGTGCGACACCAACAACTTATTCTTGGCGAAACATCTCGATGCCATCTCCGAAACTTGATCAGGTGGACCCTCGACAGTCTCTATTCTTATCCACACGGTTCCTCTACGGTTTGCAGACCATAGCCCTTCCTCCTCAACAACAGCCAAGCAAGTTCGATGGCCTGTTGTTGTTGTTGTTGTTGTTGTTGATGATTGCACAATCTAGACACCACGGTACCTTGCAGGAATTCTGGGAGCGGCCCGTTTTGAAACAGGATCCCTCGAAGTTTCCCCGATTGATCAGACCTACAGGATAGATGTTGATGGCGGAGTGATGAACGAGAGACAGCCAGTGGAGGGTGATGAAGCAGCGGCCTGCTTGTCGATGTCGATGTCGATGGTCGCCAGATGGTCCAGGTCCAACGGTTGCCCAGCGTTGTTCGATGGTATGTACCGGTAGATCCGACAGCCTCAAGAGCCTTGCGCAAGCATGGGGAGCACGCCGTTCCTTAAGTTCAAAATGCCATGTACGCTTGTGGTTGCCCACAAATAGCCTCCCCTTGTCTAGCGAACGGAGAGCGCCTCAAAGCGCCTCGGTAGCCAAAGACGACTGGCAATGCGAGTCGGGCAAAGGAAGAATTGGGACATATCTGTCGTCTAGATCGTATCTGGATAGAACGTGATAGGCTGGCAGGTTGATTGGCTTGTGCGAGGCAATATACTGTAACCATTTTCAGCGACGGTCTGGCCAACTGGGTTCTGTCCAGGGACGCCTTTCTCTCCCTTGGCAACTCAATCCCTTTCACTCCGTCGCCCAAAAGCTACAACCTGCGCCGCGCTATAGCTCGATCCGCTCAAAGGGTCGGTGGGTCGTTCGTTGCCGGCACGCAATGCATATCCACTACTGAACCAGTCTTCCGGAGGGCCTCCTTTGACGTTTGGGAATAGTAATGAGCGAGTACCGCCGTACAATTGCGTTGCGATGTGTAGAAATCGGGGATGTTTGTGTTTGCCATCTCAGACATGTTGACTTAGGTCTCAGTATTAGGCTGAAATAGGGGATCTTGTGTTGTTAGTGTTGTCATCATCGGTCATGGACATGTTTTTCGCTAGGAGCATACCGGCTCACTCGTTCCTTTGCTGGGTTGCCAAGCCAATAAGCCATATCAAAAGTCTGCAACCCCCCTATCGGTCCCAATTGCCAACCCAATTGCCCACACTTCTCCGCCTTGTCAGCTGAGTATGGTAGCTACGCGCGGGAAACGAAAGCCTCTGCTCCACCAAACCATCCCCAGTCTCTACTGCGCTTACCGCGCACAGTTGTACTCGACCACTCACTACCTAAACCACCGCTCATGAATCGTCGGTCGAACACGCTGTCTGGTGAAACTTACTGGTAGGTGGGCATTCCATTCAACAACACAACACTTCCTTCAAAACTGCTACTCCGACGAAACATACACAAAAAGATCCTGTCAGCAGCCACACACACACACACACGTAAAATACATAAAGACACCACATATCCCTCACCACCATCACAACTCCCCTCCACAAATAGCACACGACAACACCTACCATGTCGTAAACCCCGCAGTGTCATGAGATCAAAGTTACCCCTCCCCTACCCCTACAATAGTACATACCATAGTACACCTGCCAATACCCCCTACCACACCCACACACCCATCGCCAAAACACCTGGCTCTCCTGGCCAGGGGGCACAGCGTCATTTACATATTATAGTAACTCAATCACCATGCCCGTCGCTGCGCGAATGACTAGCATAGATGGACTAGTAACAGTTCATGATGTAGAGGCGGCACCTGATTATCGATACGACTTTGCCTTGCGTGATCATGTAGAAACCATGTCGATAGCCGAGAGTCGATATAAGGCACAGTGTACCGATATATTATGTGGGGGTTAGGCAGTTCACCTATGATAACTAAACATAGTAGGATAAGCTTCACTCTGGCAACTCTCCAACAACGCCAGGCACAGAAGCAAGAGGAAATTTAAAACAAAAAAAGATAGCTGGGACAAATCGTAAAGAGTTTTTCTATTTATGAAGATTCTAGTTACACTGACTGCACTGCACCATAGTATCGCTACCATAATGGTCATGCTAGAAGGAGGACGGGGGGTGGGGGAATCTCATGGGCAAAATGTCTACACGTCCTTTCCGCGCTCCTACTTAATCCTAATCCTAATCCTAATTCCCATGCCGAATCTCGATGGAGCCCATGTTCGCCGAGTCGAGAAGAAAAGGAAAATGTTGGCCATGTTTGTTTCAAAGCCGAGCCATCTAGGCTCTACCAGCCAACATACGATCAACAAACTGGCAAAAGAAGTTTCGCCACTCCTTCTCCTTCTTTGATCCCTCTAGCGCTGCCGCCAGCGTACGCAGGTACTGCTCCTGGCCATCGTCACCAAGTCCCATACCACTAAGATCATTCTTGAGGCGCTCTACGAATGATTCACCAATCTTCTTGATGATTTCGAGTTGGAGATTGGCAGTTTCGTACAGCACCTGCTTGGCTTGCGCATCCTTGGAGTTGAAGCCGGCAGAGGCCGGAATCGACCAGACGAGAGGGGAGAAGCGATCGACGATGTAGTTGTCGAATCCTGGCAGTGGTGCTTGTGAGGTGATGGGAGATGTAGGTGTACTGTTCGCTCCGGGTCCGACCTTGTCAGGTCCGCTCCAGACCGATATCATTCGAATGAGAACGAAGATGGCTAGGCGGGCAGTTGGGTAATCGTGGGTGTCGCGGGCAAAAGTCTCAATAGATGAGATGACGGGCTCAAAGGTACTTTGGTTGGCTATAAAACAGTTAGCACATCACTTGGCCTTCACTGTCGAGCGACATACCATTGCTGACAAGCACAGATCCAAGACCGTGGTTCAGAACAACGACGATGAAGTTCAAGTACTCTCGTCGGAGCTCAGCAAGCTGGATCTCGTCATCTGTGCCTGAGGGTTCCACTGCTAGTGCAGTGAAAATGCGTTGAAGAACAGGGGTCATGACTGTATCCAGAATACCAGCAATTTCCGCCTTGAACGTGAATATGACCTGACCCAGAACCTTGAGGAAAGTGCTTATCTCATCCATCGAGGAGCTGAGTGATAGCAGGCCCTCGATCCAGGACGGCAGCTGCTGTAATAATCGCGAGCCTAATACGGCAATCATTCGCGAGAAGGCGAAGCGAGCTGCGTGGCGGATTGAGCTGGAGGAGTTCAACGACTCAAGTGCGACCAATATGGCTTCGGAAGCTTTGATGAATTCTTCGGCGACCTCGCTGTGAGGAACAGCGCTGTTGTTGTTCGATGGAACCCAGTCTGAATAGCCACGTGCAAGTGTTCCTAATGCCATGATGATATGATGGATCTGAAGGATGGCTCGCTCGTCCCCATTCCTCGCCTGAGGCAAAGTCTGTTGTATGTCGGTGAACAGAGGACTCATGATGGTCTGCGCATAAAGCTTCTTGTTCTCTACCGAAACTGTGCTGGAGGAAGCAATACATCCGACAGCCTCGAATAGATAGAGCTGCGAGTTGAAGAGCGCATCAGCTGACTGGTCCTCCTCGTCTGAAGACATGTCGTCTTCCGAAGTATCTGGAAGCTCAGCTTTGATCGTGAGTAAGTCGCCGACGGCCTGGATGATGTCGTACGAGACGTTGCCAAGTTGAGCTCTGAGGTGTTTCACGAGACGTTGGAATAGGTACCAAGATCGTGAGCGGACCTTGACATGGTTGTTGTGGGTCAGCTGGACAAAATTTTCGAGAACTTTGGGGATAAGCTGAGGATTCTGTTCGAAGAACTGATAGTATCGAACGCAGATTTCCATGTACTGGAGTTGAACTGCAGGATGTGGGTAATTGGCAAGGCCTATTGCTCAATATCAGCACGGTCCATATGGTACTATCCAATACACTGGACTCACCTGAATCTATCATGCTGTTCATCATAGCCACAAGTTCCTGAGCAGCAACAGACGAAGGCTCGCGCTTCGCGAACAATCCTTGGTTTCGGATCGCCAATTCTCCAAATAGGTACATTTCGTAGAGAGCTAGCTCAAGGTCACGCCAATTTAACGTTTGGTCGCCTTGAGATAGACGGGCGAATGTGCCATTGACCAGTCGACTAAGGGTTTCAATGTAGTACGACTCGTCGATGGTTGTCACAGTCTGCTGGAGAACGTGAAGTCGTCTACGTAGATCCTGAAACTCTGCCTCATCTGTCTGTTCGCCTTCCTCTCCCCATGAGGCAGTATCGTCATATTTCATTTTTGCGATGATGGCATCCAGAACAGGTGGCAAAACAGCAGCGTATTGGGGTGGCACACTACCAGATTTCTTCTGCAACTTTCGAAGGAAAGTCAAAAGATCGGTCAAAGATGGAATTACGGTGGAGCAAACTTCATCGTACTGGTCCGCGAAGAAGCGCAGAAGATAAGGCGTAAAGATCCGAATCAGGTCATCAGCACGCAGTCGCGTCTGCTCATCGACCGATTCATTCTCCAAGATTTTGACGATATCGAAGACGATATTGTTGACAAGCTTCGCAACGGTCTCTGCTAGGTCATTGTCATAGTTTGAGCTGCTGAAATCGGCTAACGCCGGGCTGCTGATGAGCTGTCCGACAACTTCTGTGAGGTTCAGGAAAGTAATGAGATCTATCTTGTCTGTCGGACTCATTTTCTTGCCCACTATTTCAGAGAAAGTGTCAATGGCCGCATCGCGCACTCTGCCCGCGGGGCTTTCTGGGTCGGCGATGCCCTGCTGGCCAGCCATTTCAAGGAATGTCGTGATCATGGACTGATTCACAATCAGGTTGATGTCGGTCCAACTGACCCAGCGGCCAATCGTCCTTAGACACATTTCCACGAGGCCCAAATCAGTCTCCCTCCATTTTGCAAGGATTTCTTGCCATGAGGTGGATATCTTTTGCGCATCTCGCTGCCGGATCAAATCTTTCAACTCCGTGTTCCGCTTCTTCTCGTCTTCCTGTCGTGCGACTAGTTGATCGGCGATCTCGTCATGTACTTGTCCAAGCATGCGCATGTACAAAAAGGTCGTCGCGGTGTTGACGTTGCCGATGGTAGTCTGGTCGCCAGCTAGGGCGCGGAAGTCGTCGAAGAATGACTGCCATGAAGATGGGTATAACGCGGTAAAAAGATATGTGATGGTCTGCATCAACTTGTTTTGAATATGGCTTGTATCTGCAGCGCCACTACCTGGTGTGTATGATTGCCGTATGTGGGTCATGAGCGTATCTTTGACGTATGCAGTGCTCTGCTCGTCCAGTCTGTGTTCTGTTATGGCATTGTTTACAAGATCGAGTGACGTATGGCGTACGAAGTCGGACGGCCGAGGATCGCGGGTGAAGAGAGAGAGGGCAGCTTGCCATGCGGAGCCTTCTGCGCGCAATTGATTCAAGTATTCGATAGCCTGGCCGCGCAGTTGTTGACTCGAAGTTGGATCTGAAGCGATCTGGATGGCATTTTCTACCTAATGAATCAAGAAAGTCAGTACGCTTGGTCTATGAGCTCAGTCATAGTGTTGCGATCAGAGATACCTACTTGAGCCTCCATTGTCCTCCACCTTGTCAATGTGGACTTTATGTCAAAATGAGTCACGCGAGTCGTTGTAGTTCCCTTGTCTTGACCATGGGCATTGAAGGCGGTGAGAAGGAGGCTTCAAGACGAGGAAGAGGCTATCGGGTCGAGCAGTAGGACGAGGGCTGCATCGTGAAAGCGTTACAGCGGTGAAGGTAGAATGATAGCGGGGCACGAGGGCTCACATACAGCGTGAACAAGCTCTTTTTTCTTTGCGCAAACAAAACAGGTGAAAATAGAGGCGATTCTCGAAGCAATAATGCTATTATGGAGACTGTGTACGGATTAGACAGGCTTGTTGTAAGTTGTGATAGGCAGACAATATGCCCTTCGGTGAAGTGGCAGTTGCCAAGAATGGTGGGGAGCAGAGCCCAATTTGACGGGTCCCACCGCGGGCGTGCGCTTGAATTTGCACGTGCCTTTAATGTCAACTGTGTACTTGGCCCATCAGAGTGTACTGCGTATAATACGTCAGCCCAAACCCATTTTCCCATGATTTAGCACTGGATTGTGTAGAACATTTGATCGATTACAAGATAAGTAAGTAATGGATAAGTAGGCTATGCATCCTATTGCAGGGCCCCTACAGAAGCATAGTCATAGACACCATGAGCACGGAGGGCATATATATTTAAATCTAGTCACAAATCGCACATTGCAGAGATCATGAGATCTAAAATGTTTATGTACCTAGTACATGGCTCATATCAATCTATACGTCCGGCCCGAGCCCGGCTACGACCTTGAATGTGATTCGCATTCTGGTTGCATGAGCAACTGCTCCTAACATGACTTGACTTTTCTATCTACAGTTTGTGCGTCGAGCCTGAGCCGCTTCTAAAGCAGTGAGCTCACTGGCTGGCCTTTGAGTACTCAACCATACTTACTATTGGCCGAAGTGCTTTGCCGCCCACTCAACGTGATCATCTGCGAACGTGGACATGAAGTAGTAGCTGTGATCATAGTCGGGCTGCATACGAAGCTGGATGCCCTTGTCCAAGCCCACGCTCTTGGCTGCCTCGATGAAGTTCTCAGGTAGCAATTGTTTCTGCTTGTAGAAGTTGTCTCCGGTGCCCTGTGCAATGTTAGCTCCTGATCACCATGTCGTCTAGTGAGGGTTGATACATACCACGTCAATCAGCATCTCCAAAGGCCCCTTCCACTGCTTGACCAGCTCTGTCGCATCGTGCTCTTTCCACTTTTGTTGTTGGTCTTCACCGAAATAGCCCTTGAACGCCTTCTGGCCCCACGGGCAGTTGATCGGATTGGAGATTGGCGCAAAGGCTGAAACGGACTTGTACATGCCGGGATTCTTGAGAAACTAAACAAAGCAATTAGCAGAGTCATGTGCCCATGTGATTGTCGATGGCCTACCAGTGTCAACGCGCCGTGACCTCCCATGCTGTGACCTGTGATGCTGACTTTACTCGAGTCGAGCTCCTTGAATGATGAGAACAAGGCTTCTGGTAACTCTTTGGTGATGTATGAGTACATGTTGTAGCCCTTGGTCCATGGCTCCTTGGTCGCGTCAACGTAGAAGCCTGCACCCGATCCAAAGTCATATGCCTCGTCTTCGCCCTCAATTTGAAGACCTCCTAGGAAGGCGTTAGTGGGAAAGCAAGGGCCTAGATGGCGTCTACGCACGTGGTGAGGTGTCTGGGTAAACAATCGCAATGCCGTGCTTTGCTGCGCCATGCTGGAAGAAGCCCTTTTCCGAGCAATTGTTTGCAGTACAAGTGAGACCAGACAGATAGATTAGAACTGGGACCTTGGCTCCAGACTTGAAAGCTTGGGGAGGTAGGAAGACGTTGAGCTCCATGTCAGTGTTGGTACTTGAAGACTTGTGTTTGAGCTTGAGCATCTTGCCCCCAAAGGAGGCGATGGTGGCGGTGGTTTCAAACGACATGATGCGCGCACTTGTATGGAAATGATGGGAATTTGTTTGGGAGACGAATGAGAATGCAAATCTCGGGGGCTTGAGGAGTTTTGAGAATGGCCGCATCGAGTGACGTTCTTCCAGAGTTAGTGCGGGGATATAGTCAACAGCTCCCAGCCCTTGAGCTACCTACCCCACCACAAGTCGGCCACTGGCTTGTTTCAGCATTCGGACCCGCACATGGGACGGAGAAGAGTTGGAAAAGCAAAAAGCTCGGTTGTGATTCGGGAATACAGACAACGCTACCACAATTACTCCTGTTGCCGAATGTGGCTCGTTATTGGCCATATCGCAAAAACGCCAACCCAATGCTGCCAAGCAAACTCCCCTTCTACGTCAAAAGTTCTTCACATGTCCAGTCTTCGTAGAAGCCATCAGGCAGATAGCGCCGTACGACCAGAGGAATCTTCTTCTCCTGCAGCTCCTTGGCGGCGATCTGAAGAGGATCTGTCATGCCTTCGACATCGATCAAGACGGGGGCGTTCCCGCTGGCACATGTGTTAGTGTTTTGAGATTCGAGCTGGCTCTTCGTCGCAGCGGCTGCCTACCTGATTTGCAATGCCCTTGTTCCCAACACACGCGCTCGCTCGTACTTGGTCATGTATGGGGTAGTGGTGCGCTTATCGTTGTCCACCCTCCTTGACTTTTCGCTTTCCACTGTGTTGGTAGACTTGTCCTTGTTCGCAGCTGCTGCGTCTCCTGAGGCCACTATGTTGTCGTCGTTTCCATCTGCGTTGTCCGCGTCTTCTCCCCCACCGCCATGCTGCTCTTCATCTTCTTCTTCGAGGATATCGGGTAGTTCCTCCTCGTCGAACTCGATGGCTGGGCCGTCGCTGTAACTTGTCAGTATGTATTTAGCAGTACCTCTGCGCGCGAGACCAGAGTGATGCGCCAGCACTGCCTAGGAGCTCGTATCGTCGTGGGGAACATACTCGTAATCACCAGCATCATCGCCACCATAGTCAGACATGTTGATAAGGTCTTTCCTGGAGCTTTGTTTGTCTTAGCTTTGGATGAGCCCGAGGGGGTCGAAGTGGTTGTGGGGATGTAGAGCAAGAGAGTATGTCGAACTGCGCGCAGGTACAGAATCAAAGAAAGAAAGAGCGACCAACCACGGACCAACCTCGGGAGCAGGGATTACCATGGCGCTAGTGGTCCGAAATCTTGGCGAGGGAAAATAAAGTGGGCTGGCGTAGTCGGGAGGCATCGACAACCACAAACCCCAGAACACAACACTGGGCAATTGGCTTCTCACTTCTGCTTCATGACATGCTCATGTGGGAATAATGGCAGTCAAACGCAGAGCATCAGATGATGCCGCAAGAGTCTCCCCCAAGAGGACACGCATGAGCAGGTGTCGGCCCATGACGTCGCCCAACCACGATATTTCGTCGTCCTCACCAGGCGTTACCGGTACGGACCAGAGACACGAGTGGGATTCAGAATCAGAGGATTCTGCAGACTACAAGATTAATTACACCGACAATGGCACGCGTCGAGCAGATAGCGAGGCCCGCCGCCAGTGGAACTATATTTGCCCGGTGGAGAGCTGCGCACAACGTTTTAATCGACCCTGCCGTCTTGAGGCTCACATGCGAAGCCACAACAAGGAGCGGCCCTTTGCTTGCACTGCTGCAGGCTGCGACAAGACTTTCCCTCGAAAGGATCATCTTCAAAGGCACATCAAAAACGCGCATGGCGACCCCGTTATCGAAAGATCATACACATGCGAATGGAAGGGTTGTGGGAAGAGTTTCACCTCGAATGGCCGACTCCAGCGACACAAGGACGTCCATGAGTCCAAGTTCTACTGCACCGAGTACCCGCCCTGCAACGAGCATTTTCGGAAAGCCAAGGCATTGACAGCACACGTCAAGAGCCAGCACTTGGAAATCAAGCCCTACCCTTGTACATTTGTCGACCCTGAGACGGGTGACAAGTGCAAAAGCGGGTTTCAAACCGAAGCAGCCTTGCGAAAACATTTGAGCAGACTCCATTCAGAAGGACAGGAGGGGTGTCATGTCTGCTTGCTCTGCATGCCAGCTGGCGTCGACTTCGAGACGCAGGACGAGCCAAGTGCGACTAGCACCAGCCAGATGGGGCCTGTCTCTTTTGCCAGCAATGAGGAGCTGGTAGCACATACCGAGGAATGCCATCCACCAGTGTGCACAGAGTGCGGCCAGAAATTCAAAAACGCCGGCACTCTCAAATCTCACATTGACACTGTACATACCGATCCTGCAGAGCAACCACAGTTCACTTGCCCGAGACCAGACTGTGACAGTGTCTTCAACCGCCGCCACAATCTCACCGTGCACATCCAAACCGTCCACGAACAGCAATTCCGCTACTTCTGCAACCCCGACGCCCTCCAGCAGTCCAAGCACGCGGACCTGCAGGCCTGGGACGGCGCAAACGCATGCGGGGCCGCCTTCAAGGCCAAATCCTCGCTCGACCAACACGTCCGCACCCACCACCTCGGTCTCGGGAACCGCAAGCAACTCCGCAAGGCCGCCAAATCCAAGAAGAAGGCCGAGCCCTCCCTGCTCACCCTCCTCACCGGCGTCGGCTATGACAATGGAAGAGACGTCGCCTGCCTCGTTCCCTCGTGCGAATTCCGCTTCTACATGGATCGCGATCTGCGCCGCCACCTCCGCGCCGCTCACCACCTCCCCGACGACGAAATCGAGGAGCTGATTATGCAGCGCAACGCCTTGACCGGCGGACCCTTTTGGATCGGCGGCCTCGACGACGCTCAGCCCGGTCCTTTGGACTCTGCGGACCCCAGTATGCCGCAGACGCCTACACCGTACTTTGTCCACGGCGCGCCCCTGTCCATGCTGGATCGGGATCAGGATCAAACTCAGACTCTGCCTTTTTGTGCTGTATCCGCTGCTCCTACACCCCCGACAAAACAGCAAGACTCGCTCTCCCAGTATTACAACACCCAGTTGCATCCCCTGGCCATGCTGGATCCCGACGAGGACGCGGATCTGGATCTCGCCATGGGTTTGACGGGTTTGGGGGCTCCGCTTGAGGCCCAGGATGGGACGTTGTGGGATGCGTTGGCGCCGGTGGAGCGGTTTAATGGTGGTGGGGGGGAGTGATGGCTGTGGCTGTGGCTGTGGAGCCAACGAATGAATGAACAGGGCAATGATGGTACCGTCCAGATTGTAACACTTGTCCACCACCTATCACTACCATGCACAACGAAGTCGCATTCATGATTTGATTCACAGACAATGAGTCGCTGGTGTACATGATTCTCTAATCCAGACCACCTGATTTCAATCCTACCTTGCCCCATCAATCACCGCAATCCTCCTGTCTCGAGAATAGAAATTCGCCAGGCTTTGTGATTGGGTCGACTCGCTCTGCCGTTGGGATCACGTATGTATTACATTGGGGATTGTGGGGGCGTGGGGGAGGGGCGAGGGGCGAGGGACATGGACGAGGGACGTGGACGAGGGACGTGGGCGACGGGGCGACGGGGCCAGGAGCACACGGTTTCGTACGGTAATGTCTTGTCTAGGATTTCTACCCAATATTCCAAATCTCATACATGTCCTGCCCATCACGCCAAACCCGGTTGAAAGAAAAAGGAGAGAAGAAGGGGGGGGGGAGGGGGGATCTGGTTATAAGCCTGGGATGGCATGCCATATCTCATTGCATCTGCATCGGCATCTACCATCCGCATCCGCAGCTACATCTACATCTACATCCGCATACGCATCTACATCTACATCCACATCCGCATACGCATCTACATCTACATCCACATCCGCATACGCATCTACATCGGCATCTACATCGGCATCTACACCTCCCTTGGATTACACTTTCCGTCACATGCAACACCAAACACACCGCGCTTCCACTTTATATTTTCATGTTCCACAATGATCTTGTTTGAGCGTGACGTCGTGCTAAAAAAGTTGGGTATAGGGTATCATGGGCCCTCCCCCCCCCCCCAAACTCAGATTTCCACATGTGCCGCTCCCTATCCCCTGTCCGGCTCTCGCCTTGGATGAACAAGCGCGGCCCGGCCAAGGCTTCGCACACAAACACACGCGCCACACGTCCCGCGCCTCCCGCACACACCTACACCACGCTTCACGCTTCAGCTAGCCAGCCAGCCCGCCCGCCCCCAGCCCAAACAATGCCATCTCGCGCCCACAAAGGAGCAAAGAAAGACGAAGAAAACAAGCCCGAAACGCAATGGCTAGAGAGGCACGAGAAAAGCAAGGAGAAAAGGTATAAAAAAAGGTGGGTATATAATGACGTTGAAAAGCGCGGTTGAAAGAGAGAGAGAGACAGAGGAATGAGACGAGTAATATGAGTAATGGCAACCCAACGCCGTTGGTATAATCCATACCCCATGTCCAATGACCCAGGGACCCATATCCCACGCATGCCCATGCCCATGCCCCCATCATGCGAAAAGGAATTCGTTAGCGTAGCGATAAAAGTAAAAAAAAACCAACAACAAAATGCGACGATTGTAATCTCCAATGAAGCCTTGGCGGCCCAGCAATGCTTCATTTCTTCATTTCTTCATTTTTCGTCTTCTTCATCATCTTCTTCACGCCTCAGCCTTGAGATAGCGCGCCAGCACACTCGTCTCGGGCACATGCAGCACATGATCCGCCTTGCGCGCGGGCCAGGGCTCGTGCTCCCACTTGTGCGTCAGCGTGGTAGCATGCTGGGCCTCGTAGTCGCGCTTCCACACTTCGAAGCGGAGGTCCCAGCGCTGGAGGAGGCGTTTGCGGCGGGCGTCGATGACGGCGTGTAGGCGCTCTAGTTCCTCCTTTTGCCTTTTCTGCTCGGCCATCGTCTCCCGTTGGTGCGCGGCGTCGAGTGCGTCGAGCTCGGCCTCTTGCTTTTCGATTCGGCGCTGCATTTCCCGCTCTTGGCGGGCGCGCAGCACGTTGATCGCGTTTTCGTGTTTGCGTGGCAGGTTGGCTTGGAGGAGGCGTTGGTGGTCGAGTTTCTTAAAGTCTTCTTCGGAAACAACGTGCGGGTGGTCGGGGTGGGTTGCATTGGTGCCGAGACAGTAGGCGTACATGTGCTTGAGCGCGGTGGCTACGTTTTGCGTTTCTTGTTCGTGTGCTTGACGGAGGTCGTGTTCTGCGCCGATTTGCCGTTCCTCGAGATGCTCAAGGTCTTGTGCGTGCTGCGGATTGTGAGCAAGCCGATAGGCAATACCTGACTTTGTGCTATATTACCTGTTCTATGCGCTCCTTTCTGCTGGCCTCGTGTTGGGCTGTCAATTGCTGTAGGGTACTCTGATGGTGTGCAGCTAATGCTTTCCATTGGCTGCACTCAAACATGGCAACACGCTCAAATTGCTCCTTTTGCTCTGCTTTGAAGTTGGCAGAGGCTTCGTTTGCAAGAGCAGAATCCACCTTGATTTCTTGATGCCTCGTCCGCCGAGGGCCCGCATTGGGGGCGACTGGGGTTGTCACAGGTGAGGGCGAACACTCGGAGGAGCGGGGTAAGTCAATCGAGGAAATGCTGTTCTCGCCGTACGCAGAGTCAGGTAGGGAACCCAAATCAGGCGACGGAAGTCCACGGCCGCCAACGGGAAGATCCGCTCCTGGTTTGGAGACGATGGCGTGCAAGAGCGTATGTGGAAGGGCTATACCGCAGCAATTCGGGACAGTTTCCTTTCCCTTGGCCAGTGCTTCTTGGACGTGCACTTGAATGGCCAGTGTGGACAGCGTGTGACCACAGTCCAGTTTGATCGCTTGAGATTTGCTGTTGTGGTGTCCATGGTGCGACCGAGACGAGCAGGCGCTAGCAAGGTTGTTTGTCAGTCGTGTCATTGCGAATGATGTCACAAGAACCTCACCTCGAGTGTTTTCTGAAGAAGGAAAACAAGTGAGACGCTCGCTTTCTTCGTGGCTGCTGTTGTTGGTGTTGAAGGAAGGAAGAGGTGCTGGACAGGGCAGATTGGGTGACGGATGAGGGGGACTTTGCATGTGCCGACTTGGGTCTGGATGTGGCTTCATGATAATAATGCTGCTGCTGCTGCTGCTGCTGCTGCTGCTGCTGATGATGATGTTGGTGGTGGTGCGTGGCTGTTGGACCTGGCTGCACGGCCGAAAGCGAAGCTCGCGCGAGTCTCGGTGGGACTAGGCGGGCAGGCGACCTGTCCTTGGAGAAGGAATAGGCAAAGGAGGAGTAGACATGATCTCTCGAGGCGCGAGAGGCAGCCGAGGTGAGACTGGTCGACTCTGTTTCCTGCGAGTGAAGCGACATGGACGAGGCACGATCACTATCCGCAGTCATGGTCGACAGGGCGCGCGAGATATACTGTGGTGGGCACAAATCTCGGCCAGGGTCCTGGATGCCCGTTCCGGCGGCAAGCAAGGTTCGCTCGGCATCGGCCTCGTCCTCGCTCGGGCGGGCAGGGAGAGCCAGGGCTTCGGTGGCGTAGAGGGTGTCGTCGAAGATGAGTGCGCTGGTGAGGGCCATGATGGAGTGAATGCCCATGGCAGCAGGCATTGCGCCAGCGACGGGACATGCATGGAGGGTTTGCCGTCGTGACGTTAGAAGAGGCTCGAGCGAGACATGCGGGCGGGCGGCGGGATGGGACGATCCTTTTGACGTGATACTCTATGGGCCGCGGTTGGTAATGTACAGAGTACGGTGCCGGCAACGGTTAACGGTTAACGGTTCAGGGTAGGTAAGGTAGCCTTGGGATGGACGAATTTCTCCTTTGGGACACGGCGACGTCTTTGTGCGTCTCTCGGACCACACCAGCTGGATGCAGTCAAAGTAAGCAAGCAAGTAAGCAAGCCAAAGAGATGAAGTATCCCAAAAGAATCCAGTAACAATAAAAAAGGCAAAAAACTCAGTCGTCCCTCTGGATGGGATGCATTGTTTGAAAGAAGATGAAATCAATACTAATCGAGCGTGCAGGGAAAGGGAAGACGAAGAAAAAGAAGAAGAAGAAGAAGAAGAAGAAGAAGAAGAAGAAGAAGAAGAAGAAAAAAGCCAGGCCAGCGAGAAGAAGGATTGCCACGCTAACAATGGGGGAGCGCAAAAAGAAGCGTTGCCAGCAAGCAGCCCTCTCTCAGCCCTTGGGTTGACAAGTTGACTTTGTTTGAACGGCCGGCCAATCATGTCCCTCCCCATCCTCCCATGATCCCCTCCCCCCTCCGCCCCGTTGCCAACGCCCACTTTCTGGTCCCTACCTAGAGTACATAGTAGAGTCGCCCAGCCCCCAGCTTCCGTTTTCATTTCTACCGCGCTTGAGACAACGGGCCGGCCTAGGAGTAGGATGCTTGTTGGTGGATGCAAAGTGACGGGGAGAGGCGTGGAATTTGTCTTGTTGTCCACATGCAGCCAACGACACAGCTCAGTCTGGGATGCTTGCTTTCCTTTCTTTCCTTTCTTTCCTTTCTTTCCTTTCTTTCCTTTCTTTCCTTTCTTTTTCTCTCTCTCTGTCTGTCTGTCTCTTTGCAGCAGGACCGCTCGATGCCTCACAATCAACCCAACGCATCAAAACGGCCGAAACACGTCCAGTGTACAGTAGCCATGTATGTAGTAGAGTAGGCATCTCCTAGTTCGCTCTCAAGCTGCCGGCGCCAGTAATGTGCGGGCAAAGAAACCCAACCCTTGCTTGCAGCCTGCGCCCGCCCGTCACACCCCAAAAACAGGTGCAAGCCAGGGCTCTCCCGACCGAAGTAGTCCCGTTTGGCTCGCTCTGCTGTGGACAAGACAAGACGTCTCTTTCGCAGCCCAGTTCCGATAGGTTGCGAGTCTGACTACTGTGCAGTCTGCACTCTAGAGTACTGTGTACTTGTGTATGTATGCAGATCTTGCTCGTCAAGACTTGGGCGCAACAGACGGGTGACTGGACGGGACAGGATGGGGGGAATGGTAGCTCATGCTGGCCCAGATGTGCATGCGATGTGGCTCAAGTGGGCGAGTCAAAAGTTGGACAAGGTGTACCGAGTACGTCGATGTGATGGGATTTTCCATTCCGTCCCTCTTTTCACACCTGCTTTTGGCTGTTGCTGATCAAGGTTCTCAACGGGAAATCCCTTGGTCTTCATGCACCCGCCTACTGATCAAACTCACCCGGTGAAGCAAACCCACTCCACTTGGCTACCCCCACGCCGTGCCCACACAAAACACAACTCACCGCCCCCAACTCCCATCATCCTGCCCACACCACAACCCCCGCCTATTCTACCACACAAGCCAAACCAGCAAACCAGCAAACCAGCAAACCTCCACCAAAAACACCCCCCAGACGCGCCGTGACCATGCCTCACCCCCCAAACCCAGTCCTCCCCGTGATCAAGCACCCACACTAGCCCGAATCCAGCAATGACGTCAACTTGAACAGCAGCTCACCGTCAAACATCCTTGATCACACAACCCTTGTCTCTGCAGCGTCCAACACAGGCTGGCCTGCCTTGCTTTGCCTTGCCTTGCCTTGTCTTGTCTTCACATCCCGCGCAAAGCTGATAAACGCACATGCACATGGCTACATGTATGTAGTAGAGTCCATCTCACACCTCCCTCTCTCTCTCCTCTCCCACACCTCCCTCCCTCCTCTTGACAACTCACGCCTTCCTCCCTGCGCCCAAAGCAAGGCCCCCAAGACATTCCCCCACCTCCTAGTCCAAGACACGCACACCGCCTGATGGATCTGGCATGCATGCTACTTTGGTCTGGGTCTGGGTCTGGGTCTGGGCCTGGGGGTTGAAGAGGAGGAGATGAGGAGGTTGATGGGGTATGGGAGGATAGGTGGTGGAGCATGTGGCAAGGGGAACTGCGGGAGGGAAGGAGAGGCCTTCTCTATTTTACTCGAGAGCGAGGTGGATTTGGGGATACAAGGGCTGGATATTGTATTGAGAGACTTGTGGCCCTATACTCGGATTGAATGGACAAGAGATGATCCCCCTGATCCCCATGTCCATTTCCGTGTCCATGCCCAAGCCATATAGAAAACCTTCCAAGCAATGTGGGTGTCATTACCCACCAGAACAGGCACGCACTATATGCACCCGATTCAACTCAACCTGTCCTATCCATCCATCCATCCATCCTATATACATACAACGCAGTCCCAAACCCAAACAGAACCCCCCCCCACTAATCTCAGGGAAAACGAACCAAAAAAAAAACGCCCATGTAATATGCAAGTGCAGTCGCGATGCCAGTCCCAGGCCGAACCACGGCGATTTCCAGGATGATGATGATGTTGAGAACAAGGGGAAAGAAGGGCAAGAAGAATCGGCAAGAAAAGAAAAACAGCAAAAAAAAGGAGGCGGGAGATAGGTAGGCCTTTCCATCCCATCTTCAACAAGTCTGAATTTACCCAGAAATCAAGACCCAGAGGAGGAAAACTATTCATGTCAGCTAGATGCCCCACTTCATCTTCAAACAAAAGCGAGACAAGGGCAGAGCAAAAAAAAAAAAAAAAACTTACAAATCATCAACACGCCAAACATCTTGGCGACCAGCCAGCGATTGCCCTGCACCCGACTCCAATACTTCATCAACTCGCGCTGCGCACCCTCGACATTGTCCACCACGTCTTCCGTATTCGCGTCGATGCGCTGAATCTGCTCGCCCTGCTCCGACACCATTTGCGCGAGCTGGCTAAAGATGCCGCCGAGTTCTTGGATGGTGGACTCAATGGACTCAATGGCACGCCCGCGTTCCTGGATGTATTGGTTTTGCGGCTGGGCTTCCTCCATGAGCAGGAGCTGGGCGTCGGATTGGGGCCCGCCGCGTGTGAGGGCCGAGGAGCCCGAGGGTTCGAGCGAGAGGAGGTCTTGTTGCGCCGCACTCGTGTTTCTGGCGAAGCCGCCGGGGGAGCGGCCGCGTTGGGGGGTTTGGTAGAGGGGCGAGTCGGTGCGGCTGGGGTCGAGGTTGGCGTGGGATTGGGTTGCGGCGGTGGAGAGGAATTGTTCGGTGCGCGAGCGCGAGGCTTGCATGTTTTTTGTGCGCACTTCGAGCACGTCTTTGAAGTTGGTGCCCACGTTTTGGAGCTTGTCTTTGAGGAGTATGACGATGTTGCTGTTGTGCTCGCCTTCCTGGTCTACCCCGGGCTTGGACTTGGGATGTTGCTTGCTGTTCATTTGTTGCAGGGCTTGCACCCACAACCCACTTACTGTGGTTGGAGGCTGCAAATGGAT